CCCTCCCTTCCTCTTCTTTTCCTCCTCTTCTTCTCCCCTTCTCTTCTCTACTTCCCCTTCCTCTCTCCTCTCTCCCCTTTTCCACTCCTTCTTTCTCTCCTCCTCTCCCCCCCCCCCTCCCTCCCCCTCCCTTCCTCTTCTTTTCCTCCTCTTCTTCTCCCCTTCTCTTCTCTACTTCCCCTTCCTCTCTCCTCTCTCCCCTTTTCCACTCCTTCTTTCTCTCCTCCTCTTCCCCCCCTGCCCTCTCTCCTATCCCTCTCTTCTTCCCTTACCTCTCTCTTGTACTTCACACCCTTCATCTCATTTACTTGGTGGATTTCAGCTTCTGAGTGAGCTCCATTTTATGTTGATGGTATTTAGAATTCCTTTTCAATATACATATTTAATTTTAACATGTATTCTCCTTTTTAAAAAAAAATAGAACAAAAAAGTATACATATATAGTCATTGTGCTTTAAACACACACACACACACCTAATTTTGGCCGAGATGTACCCCTGGTTACAATTCCCAGCTATTCTCATCATTATCTTCATATAATAAGATTTTGAAGAGGTAAGTAAGAAAAAAAAGTTTTTGTCCTCCACGGCCCCCAGGAGCAGGCAGGCTTCAGCAGGGCTGGGGGGAGGAAAAAAATGCCCCCATTTTTGCAAAAAAGGACAGAAAATGATCCTTTTTTTGCAAAAATTGATGCATGATCCAGCAAAAGGCAAAAACACCTCAGCTTTTGCGAAAAATGGACCATGTTTCATAAAAATGGGATGCAGGGGCTGGATTCAAGAGGCCCAAAATGGCTGTATTCAGTGTATAAGATGCAGTAAAACATTTCCACGCTCTTTTAGCGGGAGGGAAGATGCATCTTATACTCCAAAAAATATGGTAATCCCCTGCATGTCTGGAAGGAACCAGGTTGGAGAAACTGATCAAAAATTCCCGTCAAAGGAAGAGAAGGTCAGAGAATTTGGCTAAGGTCCTGAGCTTGTCGATCAGAAAGGTCAGCAGCTTGGCGATTCGAATCCCTCGTACAGGTCGTCTGCATGAGTAGGGGGTTGGACTAGATGACCTCCAAGGGCCCTTCCAACTCTGTTTTACTTGTTTTTGTTGTAGGGGTTGGATCTTTCTGTGAGATCAGAAGCTTGGAAATTCCTCACCGGCTACTATCCCTGGAAGAGTTCCTACGATGAGAGGCTCACCACCGACAGCATGAGACGGTGAGTAAATTAAGTCCGGATGTGGGTAGTGCTCATTTTCTGCAGCTCGGCTCCTTCCGAATCCATTAAGATGACTTCAGAGGTGATATTCTACCAGTTTGGACCGATTCGCCTGAACCGGTAGCGGAAATCGTGGATGGCCCCGCCCACCCACCCCCAGCTCTATCGCATCCCATTTAGGACCCTTTTTCACCAAAAGTGCATGCACAGATGGCTGAGCACATGCGCGGAGATGGTGCGTGTGAATGAAGCGTGTACGTGTTCACATTTGTGAACCAGTGGGGAAGGTATGCGAATACCACCCCTGGATGACTTGCACAGAATTCTCAGCTAGCGCGGGGATATGCCATCATCTTCTTTTAACAACCCCCACCCATCTTCTTTAACAGCTCCTAACTGACTGACGCAGATGCTGTCTCTGTAGTAGAGGGGCTGCATGTCAGCTCCAGCAAGCCCACAGGCCTGGAGCTGCCATTCGGATGGGGGAAGCTGTGGGAGCTTCCAGGAATCATGCTTACCAGCTGGGGATCTCCCTCCTCCTCAAGCAACTGAGCTGAGAACTCTCCATAACTCTACATGAGGTGGAGTCTGGGCAACTGAATGGAGCTAGCAGTGTTTTAATGGCCAGATGCCTTTCCCTGTCGCCAATGCGGAGTTTTGTTCAGCAGATAAATTCTCACTGTGCCCAGGGAGAAAAATACCTGCCTCTACCTAGTATCAAACTCACAGCCTCCTAACTGTGGGGCGAGAGCTCCCCCTCTAGGCCACCACACCACTCTACAGGGATCTACCATGGAGGCTAGGAATTCTGATGTTCTGTCATGCGCATACTTGAGCTGAGCCAGGGCTGAAGAGAGCAAGGTGTTCTCCTGAACTTTCACACCTATCGGTTATTCAGCCTTGTCATCTATGGCTTCCCCTTCCCCTTTGCAGAAAAAGCTATGAGTCCCTGTGCACCATGTACTCCAAGATCGAACCGCTGCTGGAGACGGAGCATCGAGACTTCACGGAAGTCCAGAACGTTATACGTAGGTATCAGTGGTGGGTTTCCAAAAATTTTTAGAACCTCTTCTGTAGGTGCGGCCTGCTTTGTGGGAGTAGCTTGTCAGCCATGTGACCAGGCGGGAGTGGCTTGCTGGCCATGTGACTGGATGGGAGTGGCTTGCCAGCCATGTGACTGAGTGGGAGTGGCTTGGCAGTCATGTGACTGGGTAGGCGTGGCCAACTTGTAAAATGTGGTGAAACTCACTTAACAACGCTCTTGCT